CCATAAGTATCGGGAAAAATTATCGGTAAATCGATATATCGGTCAATCGCTAATGGATAGATTAAAAAAATAAAATCAGCCTTTTTTATGCAGGGCTTCCTTAAAGGGTTAGTTCACCCAAAAATGAAAATTCTGTCATTAATTACTCTACCCTCGTGTCAATCAAGACCTTCGTTCATCTTCGGAACACAAATTAAGATATTTTTGATGAAATCTGAGAGCTGTCTGACCCTCCATAGACAGCAACACAACTGAAATGTTCCATTTTTATATTTTATCCATCTTTATATTTAGCATATAAAGCATTTTACAATGTTTTATTTGTCCCATTTCCATCAACAATAAAGTTATATTTTATAAACTATTACAAAATAACTATAAAAATAATATAAATAACTATAAAAATAACACGTGGTGGATTTTTAGTATGTAAAGCATTTCATTTGTCAAATCTCAAGCAAAAATAACTTTTTTGTATAATTGTATAATTGTATAAAACAACAACAAAAAAATAACTATACATATACCATATTTGTTTGGTTTTTAGTATGTAAAGCATTTTGACAATTTTCCAGTAAATATAGTTATTAGAAAATTATATTTAATGAGCTAAAACTAAAAGTAATTGTTGAATTATAAAATTCCATCCAAAAATGGCTATAAAAATCACATTAATATAAATATAACATGCTATGAGATTTACAGTTGCTCGGTCACTCATGTGTGATGTAAGATATTTGTCATATCTCATACACCTGCATTAGACTGAAGTGTGTTTGTATTTGCTCCTGCTGCGAGTGTTTTGTTCTCAGTGAGAGCAGTGAAAGGCTCTTATTGAATGAAGAATGATTTTTCCATGCGGTGACGTGATGAAGCAGTGATACGAGCTCTGTGCTGTTGATGTGCGTGTTTTGCATGTGTTTTCCCGGCATGCTGGAGTTATATGTGGAGAGCTCTGTGTGTCGTGAGTGTGTGTGAGCACACAGCTGTGACGTCTCTTCACTCTCGCCGCGGTCGTGGATGAGCCGCTGTGAAGCCCGCGGCAGATGGAGAGTCGTGATGAACACACCTGCAGTCTGAAAGCGTTTCCTCAACATTATGTGAAAGATATCGTTTCCATGTCACTCACAGGTTATCTGGATGTGAATCTCTCTCATGCATAACTCTCAACTAGAGCACAGTCATAATTAATCAATTGTACATACTATTTACTGAGTTAGGTTTGCATACACTTGTGTGTTTAGTGAGTTAATAAACAACGGAGACTTCTGTGGAAACATGTTTTTTATTTTTATATGCAAGGTTTATACACATTTATTTATGCAATATTTATTTATTTTTTAGTTAGGGTTAGGGTTAAAGTACTAAAATATAAAATATAATAAAAAACAAAATATAAAAAATAAAATATAATAAATGACAAAGCATGCAACAAAATTACTGAAATTAAAGTGAAAACAGAAAATGTAAAATCAAATATTACTCCAAGAAAATAGCGGTTTATATATATATATATATATATATATATATTGCTATAGTGAAATGACACCAAGTAAAGCAATAAGGCCAAGAAAATAGTTAATCTATTCACTTTTTTCCTATGTTTAGGCAGTGTTGTTGGCACACAAAGTGGGCATCAATATAATAATAGATGCTTTGTAAACGATTAAATAGATTTAATAATCACAGTAAACATTCATTCCAGCATGTAATTTAGTTGATTAGTCTAATGCAGGCTGGTAATGGATTAAACTGATGTACTTTGATGGGCATGTATTGAACTGTGGTTTGTGAGTCCCGTGTTGAAGGATGCTGCAGGATCTCCTGAAGGGTGTCGTAGGTTTCGCTCGTCTGTGGATGCGTGTGATGCTGAGATCTCGTGCGGATCGTGTTTGATTTGCGATGAGCTGGTCTTCATCATGATGCACAAGCGCCCCACATACGGCCGCGTTTCACGCATGTTCTCGATCCTTTAAAATATTCCTGCTCCTGAAATATTCAGTAGCAGCGAGAGAGAGAGCGACTCCCATCCCACTGAAGCATTTGTTCTTCATCTCTCTTCGTCCTCATGCCTCTGTTCTCCTCTCGGAGCTTTCGGAGATTGTTTCTCGGCTTTACTTACCGATGCATTAAAATTTCGCCAAGCAAAAATTTTATAAATTACTACATATGTTTGAATAGATCAAATTTTTATTACAGACGCTGTTTAAATGTTCATATTTCAACAACAAATTGGAGTAGAAACATAATTATATTATTAAAAAGGTGATGTGAAGACATATACAAGTTCATATACGAGTGTTGATTTATTAAATACAAATGATTGATTAATTGATTATAAAAAAGCTTAATTTTTGGTTTTGGTGTTCAGCTAAATGAAAACTTAAATTTACAGTAAAAAATGCTGTAAGCCATTATAAAATTAAAAAAGAAATAAATTCCCTGAAAAATAAAATAAATAAATAAATATGGGTTTTTACTAAATTTTTTTGGTCACACATCTTAGTATTCCTTATTTAGTCATAATATTTATAATAATAATAATAATAATAAATTAATAATTGTATATATAATAAATATGTAATAGTGCTTAAATGCATGGATTTTTTTCTCCTGAGGTGGTTGGGTAAACCTTTTGCAATTACTTTTGCTTTTTGCTGAAGTAATTGCAAAAGTATATATGTGACCCTGGAGCACAAAAGCAGTGTTAAGTCACTGGGGTATATTTGTAGCAATAGCCAACAATACATTGTATGTATTGTTGGCATAAATCATTAGGATATTAAGTAAAGATCATGTTCCATGAAGATATTTTGTAAATTTCCTACCGTAAATATATCAAAACTTAATTTTTGATTAGTAATATGCATTGCTAAGAACTTCATTTGAACAACTTTAAAGATGATTTTCTCAATATTTAGATTTTTTTGCACCCTCAGATTCCAGATTTTCAAATAGTTGTATCTCGGCCAAATATTGTCCTATCCTAACAAACCACACATCAATGGAAAGCTTATTTATTCAGCTTTCAGATGATGCATAAATCTCAATTTCGAAAAATTTACCCTTTATGACTGGCTTTGTGCTCCAGGGTCACATATTTGTGTTTTGCAGACATATTTGGTAATTGCAATCCTGTCTATTTTAATTGCTTAACCTCATTTATTTTGATGATTATTTTGTTGAATACTGTAGCTACATTTCTTGTTGTGATGCCTGCTACACCCATTATGGATCTTTTTGTACTCCCATCCCATCTGAAGAAAATGAAACTATTGAAATGAATTAAATCAATCAAATCAAATAAATCTGACAGGCATCCACAGCATATGCTCTCCTGATTTGAGTTTGCACTGTTCAATAATCTGTTAACCCAGACGAAAAAAAGAAAACAGTTTTCTCCTTTTTTGTGTATATGAATATGAGGGAAGAGTAACCCGGAGACGGAATTCCTGCGGTATCCATGGAAACAAGAAGAATGCGTGTCTGGAAGAGTCTGGATGTGTGTTAATCTGAATCGCTGTAATAATCTCTAGTCAGTCTAACTCATGCGCTTCCCGCTGGATTACAGTAGATGATGATTGTTTTAAATTAAACCAATAGCTGTCCCGTCCCAAAAGCTCTTTGAATGATTTCATTCATGTTCCTGTCCTCCCGTGGCCGACCTGTAGCACAAATAGAGATCTAGAGCTGGAGAGTATATAATGGGATATGAAAGAAAATAACCAAGTGACATTTTAGTATTATTTATATAATTTTGTAGTTTTTCTTAATATTTTGAGTTAGCTTTTATTTTTATAATTTCCCAAATTATATTCGTCATTCACACGTTTTAATTTATTTTGCTTTTGCTTTTATTTTATATACATTTCTAATTAGTTTTGTTTATTATTAAATTTTTTTTAATCTATTTATATTTTATTTCAGCCTCATTTAATTTTCCTTTTTTTTTGTTCTGCTTATTTGCTTTTGCTTTTTAAAATTATTTTCTATAGAGTTTTATTTTTTATTTTAGTTTGTCTTTTTATGTGCTTTTGCATTTTTATTGTTTTATATACATTGCTGATTTAATGTTTTGTTTTTCATCTAATATTTATTTATTGTTTAGGCTTTATTTAAATGTCTGAAAATGATTTATTTATTTATTTTTTTTCTTATGTGCCTTTGTCATTTTTTATTCTATAAAGCTTTATTTTGTTTTATTTTTATTTTATTTGTAGTCATTTTCTTGTGTGCTTTGGTCATTTTTATTATTCTCTCTCTCTCTCTCTCTCTCTCTCTCTCTTTCTCTCTCTCTCTCTCTCTCTCTCTCTCTCTATATATATATATATTTCTAATTAGTATTTTATTTTTTTCATTATTTCTTTCGTCTAATATTTATTTTATTTCAGCTTTATTTCAAGTTCTAATTGTGTTTTTTAATTATTTTTATGTATTTTTAGTTTTTTATTTCTATTTTAATTTTAATTTGTGTGCTTTTGTCATTTCTATTGTTTTTCTATATAGTTTTTAATTTTATTTTAGTACTTAAACTGAATTGTCAAATATTTCTCATGGTTTATTTAAAAACGAAGCCGTTGTGGGTGAATCTGATGCTGGCAGCGTTACTGTGGAGCGTGTTGTTAATGCATTAGCGAGTGCAGACTCAGTGCTTGGTCTTGTTACTCTATTTCGAGCGCATGCTGTTCTCTCACCGGCGACAAACAAATGAGGTAAAGTGCGGGATAGAGGGAGGGGAGGGAATCGAGCGTGACGAGGCAAAAACCGCAGCGTCCTCAATCACCGTATTCCCAGAGACTCCAAGCCTGCGACAGGACATTTTTCGTGCCGCTGTCTCGAAGTGACAAGATAATTGGTCTGAGGGTCAGCTGACCTCATAAAGCATCTTTTGACACGAGAACATTGTGTTTCCTGTAAACTGCCCAAAGGTGACGCCTCACAGCAGGGATGGGCTCTGAGAGATGCTCTTCTGATGGGTCTTCAGCTTCTTTTTTTGTGCCTGAAATGTACATTATGCATGAAGGTAAACATTTTTAGCTACACAGGCATGTTTTTGCTTTCCATTACAATGCAATTCATAATCTTGTTTTTTTTTTACTGACTACTGTCAATATATATTCATAAATAAAATAAGAAATAATAAAATATAAATTAAATGCATGACAAATAAATTCAAATATGTACAATATATGCCTTCTGACAAGTTTTTAGCATGGTTTTTGTGTGTAAAATGTACTTTATGCATATAGGTAAATGCTTCGTGCTTCAAAATCCTGATTTCACATGTTTTGCATGTTTTTCATTACAGTGTACTTCATAATTTACCCTAATTTTATTAACTGCTGTTCATTGTTCATACTGGTAAAAAATGTATAGCCTGAATGCACTGTAAGTCACTTTGGATAAAAGTGTCTGCTAAATGCATAAATTATTATTAATATATACTAATAAATAAAATTAATTCAATTATCTGAAAATAAATAAATATGGTTTTAGCATGTTTTTGTGCCTAAAATGTACTTTATGCATATAAAACTTTTTATAAAGTACTTATTAAATTATTAATTTAAAATTTATTACTAAATTAAATGATTAAATTAATTTAATTTAATAACTTAATTACACATTAAGTACTGCTAATATATTAATAAATCAAATAAAAAAGAAATAATTTAAATTCCCTGAAAAAATAAAAATAAACTTGAGTTTTTAGCGTATTTTTGTCTCTTTTTTTTTTTATCAGTATTTATATACTACTACTACTTATTACTTTTAAGATTTTAATAATTTTAATTTTAAAAATCTAAGAATAAGATGCTAATTTTTATATTTTTGGTTTTTATTTTAATTTAAGTGTATTTTATGTGTTTTTGCCATTTTTATTTTATTCTATTTTTCCCGTTTTTTTATTTATTTATTCCTGTGTAGCTTTAATTTATTTTTATTTTAGTTTCATTTTAAGTAATTTTAGTACTTAAACCTAATCTTACTTATTTTAGTTTCTCATTATAATTTCTCATTATTAGAAAAGGTTTTTAAATCTAATATTTATATATTTTTCCAGCTTGTTTTCAGTTTCCAAAAATAATTTTAATAGTTTAGTTTTCGTTAACAAAAACACTGGTTTGCCCTGGATTCTTGAAAAGCGTTGGCTGAATGTTTGTTTTGCATTGTTAGAACGTTTCTAGCCTCGCTGTTTCTTACGTTCTACTTTTGTCGTCACTTTTCGTATGTTTGGGTTCTTCTTGCGTCTTGGCCTCGTTCCTGTCCTATTTCTGTCTTGTATCTTGCTTAAGGAGTCATTGGTGTGTCTGTGTGCCGTTTGAAGATCTCTGTGTCACTCTGAGCTTTTTATAGCGCATCTGCAGCCGATCCTCGTTAGGAGAGCAAAATCTCCCCTCGTTAAAGTCTCCGTCTTTAACCAGCTAGAATGCAAACGCAGCAGAAGCGATCCATCGGCTGATTGAAAGAGCACGGATGTACGTTGAGGATGGAGAATGTGATGAATTGCTCGTGGGATTCACTGAGTGATTGATTGAAAACTCAAGCCCATCAGAAAGATTGATCTTAAATCTAACGCCCCTCTCTCTCTCCCTTCATTTCAACTCTGTAACTTATTGCTCTTGTCTTGTCTATACATGATATTACAATTTCAATTATATTATTATTACCAATAATAACAACGACAATTAGTTATAGTTATTATATAATTATTAGTTGATGCATTAATTACTAATTAATATCGAGCAATATATTTATTACAGTATTTATTTATCTTTTATGTATGTAACTTTGGTTACATATTAATACAAATACAACTCAGCTCAGGTCCATTAATTAATATTAAAACATGGGTCAAAGACAAAAAAGCATTTAAGCATAAAAACAATAAGTGTAATATTGCTTTAAATTGTTGTTGTTTTTCCCAAAAAAATTTAAAAAGTTTTCTGTTTAATTTAATTGCAATTTTGTTTTTGTTCTTCCGAGCAAAAAATAAAATAAATATCATACATTTTCCCCTGATTTACAGAAGATGCCCACTAAAATGTCATTCAGTGTAACAATCTTGTCAGGCATATTTACAACAAAAATCAATTTATGATATATTAAAAGACTAATTACTTTCACCCCAAATACTAATTAGTTGTAATTTTAAATTTTTTAAATGTGCCACTATCCTAGGTTTTGCCCATTTGTCAGTAAAAATGTTTTACTCATTTAAAACACAATAAAATTTTATATGCTCCCTTATTCTTTTATATATTGTAATATGTACACGTCAGAATAAGCATGTTGTTTGAATTTTTACATAAATATTGTGTTACACTGAATGACAATGTAACATTATTTAAACCAAATTTTAACATTTTATTCTCCAAAAACTTATTTGAAACCTTAAAAGTAGACACTTTACTTACATTTAATGTGCTTTCTATGGACATAAAATCACTTTTGTAAATTTATTTTGATGTGGACATTGACCCACATACAACTTTTGATTTTATTTAAGAAATATTGAATTAATAAATTTAATTATATGCAGTAATAAATGCTTTAGCACTATATTTTTTGTCAGTTTGTTAATTTAAATAGATCCTTAAAAAATTTAAAATGTTACCAGATTTTATTGTATTTTGAATCACAGTCAATATTTATCAGAAAAATCACAATAAGATTTTTTCCCCCATAAATTGTGCAGTTGATTAGTGCATGTTGGGTTTCCTTTATTCCTTGTTTTTTACAAGTTTTGTATGCACACACTCAACACTGTTGTAAATGAATGACGTTCTGTCTGTGTAGACCTCACACTGGTTCCAGGATACTTGAGTTGGATGTTGATCTGGTCGTCCTGAGTACTGTTGGAGAAATGAAATCTGATCTGTGATGCGACTGTCGTTCGGCACGCTGCATTGAGCAGCCGCGTTCAGTTTTTAATTGTAGTGTCTGTTCTTTTACTGAACTAAATGATTTTTATTACTATAAAAAATCAAAACGACGGTGGGGGTCGGTGCCGCGGTGGGCAAGTGACGTAACCGGTGTTGCGGATTAACACCGGTATCACCGTCAACACCGTCTACTGCAAGCCTACTGTGTACTGTGATTTGACTGTGAAGGGCGTTTCTAAGGACTGATCGCGGCCTCGTTGCGTGCCGACTTCAGTCCTCAGAGAGTCTCTGCTGGCTCCACGCTTCAGGGACACGAAAACAATGGCTCTTCATTCATCTGCTTAATGGAGAAAGTGCTGGATCCTTTACATGAGCGGCTGAAGAGTGAGGAGTTTTCTTCTGCTAAATCAAGAGCTCTGTAGACATTCGTCTCTATTAACTGACAGAAGTTTTCCTCTCTCTCCTCCACTCCAGTCAAATACACTCTTAGGCTTTGTTCCAAAATCTAGTGCACTATGTAGGCAGCAAGTTCAGACGTCAGACATTAGAGATTGATTTTTTTTTTTTTTAAAGAACTGGTACAGATATAATTATTTTTTTTATGTGCCTGATAACGATATGCAGAATCAATATTTATTTAGCCTATTGTTTTAATTTAATTTTCTATTTTTTATGATTTTAGTTTTAGTTTTAGTTAAAACCCTGACTATATTCTCCTGCCACCCTGTACAGCGGATAAGCGGTTTGAATAAAATGGATGGATAAATTCAACATTTTCTGTAGGTTTACCATTTTCAGTCATTAGATACTGTTTAAAAAAAAAAAAATATATATATATATATATATAACCGATACAGATTATTTGCATGTTTGTGACTAATAACCGATATGCAGAGTCAATATTTATTCATTTTATTTCTATCTCCTGTTTCTGCTGGAGTATATAGTAGATATTGACCAATATAAAAAAAATTTAACCATTACAGATTATTTGCATGCTTATCTGCCCAATAACTGATATGCAGAATCAATATTTAATGATCATATTTCTATTTGCTGTTTCTGCTGGAGTTTAAAAAAAAAAAAATATATATATATATATATATAACCGATACAGATTATTTGCATGTTTGTGACTAATAACCGATATGCAGAGTCAATATTTATTCATTTTATTTCTATCTCTTGTGTCTGCTGGAATGTATAGTAGAGATTGACCAATATAAAATGTTTTAATAACCAATACAGATTATTTGCATGCTTATCTGCCCAATAACTGATATGCAGAATCAATATTTAATGATCATATTTCTATTTGCTGTTTCTGCTGGAGTGTTTGGTATAAATTGACCAATATTGATTTTTTTATAATTGATACAGATTATTTGCATGTTTATGTGCCCGATAACCGATATGCATAACTGATATTTATTCGTTTCACATCTAAACATTTTAATAAAACATGCAAAGCTTTGCTCAAAGCTTGCTTTTAAATAATACTACACTTTAAATACTCTACACTTTTTTTTATTAAATGATAAAGTTCACCATAGCATCACAATGACATGAGATTTTCAAAAAGTTTACAAGCAATGTGAAACATGAATATGAGCATTATCTAGTATTTATTAGCAAAGTATCACTTCAGGAAAATGAAAAAAAGAGGCTGACCTCTGCCTTGTTTACCTGGCAAAGATGATATAAAATCATGATGCATTTTAAATATTTGTAGATTGTTTGTTGTTAGTTTGTAACCTTCTGAAGCTATAGTAGTTGAAGTTGTTAAATCATGATTTCTGCTGTAGTTTGTCCTCTGTCTCGTCACTCACACGTTCTTCTGTCAAGCGTGTCTGACAGGTGTTGGCGTCTATTGTCACTTTGTTCATCTGTGACGGACACACATGCCGAAACACGGCCTGATGACTGGATGCTTTATTTGAAATAAATAAATGCTTAATACAGCAAGGACGCATTAAATTGATCAAAAGTGACATTTATAATGTTACGAAATATTTATATTTCAAATAAATGCTGTTCTTTTGAATTTTCTATTCATCTGTGAATCCTGAAAAATAAAATGCATTACAGTTTCCACAAAAACATTGTGCAGCACAACTGTTTTCAACATTGATAATAA